AGAATGAACAGATGGTTTGAAGGATATCTTTTATTTTATATCTAAATGGTATTTTATATCTAAATGAGTGTGAGGAAGATGTAGGTAAACCTATATGCATGTTCTGATCTGTGGTGTTTGTTTTGTACGCATTAACATATTTCTCATGTTTGCAATTTTTAGGCATCTTTTTTTTGTATTTTGTTTTTCTGTTTCAAGTTCTTATGGGTTTTTTTTCTTTCTTTAGATTGATCTTACAATTTCTATATTCCTGTCCCAGTAATGTTGTTTTCTTACTTAATTCTTTGATTAATATTTTTATTTTTAATAGTAAATTGTAACATTATTTTGTAAGCCAGCAGCTTTGGTCAGATTATGAAGTAAATCTTGTTTTGCTTCAATGTTTAATGAATAATTTTGCAATACCTATTTTCCTCTTCATTGTGACCTCTTCTCCTTGACACGTAAGCAAAATTTTTGGTCCAAAAGATACTCTCATCACAAAGGCTTTCTGAGAATTCTTTAACACTCATGAGGTAGGAAAAGAAAAGAGATGGCTGTAGTTTCTCACCTAGGTGAGAGAATAAAAGAAATGATTGGTTTTTTACCTTTTTATTTAGATGAATGTTGATTAGAAGAGGATAAAAGTGGCCTTATATTTTATTTGTTTTGTATTTAGAGGGATAATTTAGGCATTATAATTTTTTTGTAAAGAGTAATTTTAATTTCTCACAAAATCTCTTTACTTTTGGTGAGAAACAAAATTTAAAATTTTGTGTGATTTGTGTTTTTTTTCATTTCTCTTCCTTTCTTGTAATTTCTCATCTCATTAATCATTTAAATAAGTAACGAGAAACTTGATTCTCTCCGTCTTCTTTCTTTTCTCGCCAAACCTCTCCATCCAAACATAGTTTAAATGCAGAAGTTAATGATAAGATGATGTGACTAAAATAGGATAGTGACTTTTTGACTTTTTAACTTTTTTAGATTATGACAAACAAGGCCTTAATATACGTTAGATGATCTTTCTGCGTATAAGCTTGAGTTTTTAAGTGGGTATGAGTTATAAATAATGTATGTTGAGTGTTGATGTGGCGTTTATAAACTCTAGAGTTTCTCTCGGTTGGAACTGGTGCCAATGGCTAACAATTTATAGGTAAACTCTCATCGAGCATCGACTAGGTGTTGGAAATCCATTATCAAGATTAATTTTATGGATAGACGTTGGTGCCAATGGCTGACAATATATGGGTAGACTCTCCTCGAGCATCGACTCTTGATGTTGGAGATCCATAATCAAAATTAATGGGAAGTACGTATCATCTAAGATGAATTTGCAAATAATATATCAAGATCCAAGAGGAGTAAGGAGAAGCAATGGCACAGACTCAAGCTAAGGTCGCAGCTTAAGCCTTAGCTCATAACAGAGTAACTCAAGTAGCATCAGTTGCAGTCTCAGTTTCAAGCACGTGTGTGATTGAGCTATTAGTTGGCCTCAAAATTGCCACATATTTTACAGATCATAATTGGACTGGTTGCATTAGTATTATAGCCTGTTATACCCCTCTAAAATTTAGTGTTATCCTTAAACTTTTAAGTAGATGTGAATTACAAATAATATATAAAAGGGATATGCAGATGCGGGGGAACTATTGGCTGTGGTGGAGGCGGGATATGCAGGTCACGCTGGAGTAAGGCATTGATCAAGGCTTGGTTCTGCTCGGTCAATCGGTTGATGCTGTTAGTGAGTTCTACGAAATATGGAGGTGGGTTGTTTGGGTTGGAGGGCTCAGCTTTGGGGTTACCAACGTTGTGTTGGGAAGCCATGGATCTAGTCGTGACCATCTACTTTGATGCAGGGGGTGGATGACTACAGGGTTCCTTCCGACGACAAAGAGTATAACTGTCGTTTCGGAATGGAATTTCCCACAGACAGTGCCAACTGATGAAGCACTTAATTCCAATGGAAGATGGGTCAATCTAATCCACACTTCTAATGGCTTCGCCGGTCTTGATGCCCATAGAACGTTCTTGCAAAAAAGGTCCAAAAGGGGAGGTAATCCCCCAGCGGACCCTTCGACGGTCGAGCTAGAATAGGAGAGATTGACTGTGTAGAGAGAGGAAGAGAAAAAATGAATAACTTAATCTTTAATGCTCATCATTTTCTTGTCCATTTCGGACTGTCGTGTTGGCTGAAAGTCTATTCTAGCTCGCATCGTTCATGGTGAGTCTGCCTCCTCCGGCGTGAAGGAATTGTAGTATTTAATGCCGTGAGAGCTTCATTAATGGATGATGTATGGTGCAATAACTTTGCAAGATTTTTGTCTACTTACGTGTTTAGGCCTCTGTTTGGCAAGTGTTTGAGTGCTATTGATTCTAGCCTAGTGTTGATTTCTCATAATTATTAGGCTTTGATCGTTGAAATGTAAACTGAGCCTTGATCCGTGAGTTGGGCCCTCCTAGATGTCCATCGGTATCATAACCAAACACAGCCTTAATTTAACTCAAAATAGCACACCCACGCGTTCACATGCGTCAACCAAAAAGAAAAGAATATATGCCAATGGTTGAAAAACACCCATGCCATACCATCCCAACTTCGTTATTCATTCATCTTAAAACCCAAAGTTAAGTTACCTTTCAAAACCCTAGTTAGTCACAATCTCTCCAAATTCATTTCAATGTCATTTGAACCTCAAATCCCTCCAATGGAACAACAACAACAGCACCAAGAGCAAGAAGAGGGTTCCACTCAGAGCAAGAAAGCCGCCAAGAAGGAAGCCGTCAAGTTGGAGAAGCAGCGCCGCCGTAAGTAAAAATCTACCTCCGGAGCCTCCGCCGCGGACGCCCCTGACCCCCTCGCCGCCAACTACGGTGATGTCCCACTCGAGGACCTCCAGTCGAAGGCCGTCTCGGGCCGAAAATGGATCGAGATCGCGAATTTGAACGAGGAGTTAAAGGACCAGAACGTGCTAATCCGGGGGCGAGCTCATGCGATCCGTAGTGTGAGCAAGAAGATGGCGTTTTTGGTTGTTAGAGAGCGGGGATTCACTGTGCAGTGCGTGCTCTCTGTTGCTCCGGACGTGGTTAGTCTCCAGATGGTGAAGTTCGCCACTGGGTTGAGCAAAGATTCGTATGTTGATGTCGAAGGGATTATCTCCGTTCCTAAGGATCCCATTATAGGTGCTTCTCAGCAGTAGGTATAATTGCATTTCTGTGTCAATTTTGAGAATGATTTGAGATTATTAATGCTTGAGATTGACAATTCTGAATCCACAATTCACCACAATGACATGATAAGTGAGTTGGGCCATTGATGGTTGAGCTTGTGACAAATTAAAAGTTGGATGATGCACAACTTCCCTTAGGGTCCTTAAACCAATTGACATGGAGTTGTCCACATCACGGTGGATAAATTTAAGGGTCTCAGGTAAGATGGTGTGACTTAAACAGGATAGTGACTTTTTAACTTTTTAACTTTTTTAAGTTATGACAAGCAAGGCCTTAATATACGTTAGATGATCTTTCTGCTTACAAGCTTGAGTTTTTAAGTGGGTATGAGTTATAAATAATGTATGTTGAGTGTTGATGTGGCGTTTATGAACTCTAGAGTTTCTCTCAGTTGGAACTGGTGCCAATGGCTAACAATTTATAGGTAAACTCTCCTCGAGCATCGACTCGGTGTTGGAAATCCATTATCAAGATTAATTTTATGGATAGACGTTGGTGCCAATGGCTGACAATATATAGGTAGACTCTCCTCGAGCATCGACTCTTGATGTTGGAGATCCACAATCAAAATTAATGGGGAGCACGTATCATCTAAGATGAATTTGCAAATACTATATCAAGATCCAAGAGAAGCAAGGAGAAGCAATGGCACATACTCAAGCTAAGGTCGCAGCTTAAGCCTCAGCTCATAACAAAGTAACTCAAGTAGCATCAGTTGCAGTCTCAATTACAAGCACGTGTGTGATTGAGCTGTTAGTTGGCCTCAAAATTGCCACTACATTCATGAAAAATATTTTTATAATATTTAGAGTGTGTTTGGGAAGCAAACATTTTAGCCAAAAAAACCATTAAAAAAGCCAAAAAGTTATATACAAAAAGGTCAAAGATTCCTTTTCTTCTATACTTTTTACACTTTTTTTTTAGCCAAATAGCCATTCCCACACTTCAATTTTTTCACCTCATATTTTAGCCAAAAAGCCAATTCCCAAACCAACCCTTAGTGGTATTGTATTATACATAAACTCAAAGAATGGAAATTAGTTTAAGAACCAATACCCAGTAGTTAGTTTACTTTCTAATTTTCAGTAGGTCCTATAAAAATTTTATTTCAATATATTATAATTTTTTAACTCTCTCTTGTGACTTTCACTTTTGCATTTAAATTGTTATATGCAAAAGTGTTTGTATGCAAATTTTCTTGTTTATTTGTTGATATCCGAATTTAGTATTGTTATATTTTGCTTGTTATCCCTACTTTCTATGAAGTATGGATATAGATATGGGACACATGCAGGACACATTGATGCCAATTCAATAAATTATAACAAGTGGGGTACTATTTTTATCTTACTATTTTTTTTTCTTCTTCTCTGAGTAGTGACCAAAGTATTGAAAAATTATTCTCGTATTTATCTTAACAATTACACTCTAATGCTATGCAAAGAATTATTATGATTTCAAAATCATAATAGTTTTGGTATGTGGCCTAGAGTATTCGAAAAGTATTAGATAGTTCTCAAAATTAAATAAAATTAATTTCAAATCATGGATATGTTTAGGAAGTATTGGATACGTATCCACGAAGACCCATCTTTTGCCAAATATAATATTGAAAAGCTTTGTGTAGTAGAAGCTGTGAGGCAACTGGAAGATAATAAAATTCACAACATTTGGAAGAATGGTTTAAAAGAATATAGAAGATAAAGCTTATAAAAAAAGAATACGAGGTAGATATTTTAAAATAAAACTAGTAGTGGTGCTTATGAGATCGTTGGCTGAATTGGTGTTAAAAGAAGTATATTCCTAGTTACATCTTCAGAAAAATGGTGAGTAATTCAAGTTACTTTCACTAGGCATGTTGATTGATGATGTGTTATTTTTTATTTAAATTTCAAAATAGAATAGGAATAGGAGTCCAACTACTCTGTTTCATCAAAAACAGAATGTGATAATCTTGTAGAATATCTGGAGTCCTACAAGTTTAAGAATCTCAAACTGAATATAGTTTTTGAGGGCAGGTTGGCTGTTGGTACTACTATGGAAGAGGTGTATTCCTGGTGACATGGTAGATATTTCGACTTAAATTTTTATATGCTTGTACCATGAAGTACCCTGGTGAACACAATATCCAATGGGATAACCTATACTTCAAAATAGTGGCAAAGCTTGTGTATCATATAGATCTGTTATCCAGAAATGCCTGCACTCAGATGCTAATTCTGGAAGCCATGTTTTCATATTGTACACCTGTCCATATGAATCTGTTATCCATATACCTGTACCGCAAGCTCATCTTGGAGTCCATATATCCATGTTATAGATCTTGCATATATTCTGCCTCCACCCCAGATGGCTTTGTTACTGCCGTTGTTATTATCATTGGTTATTATTAGTGTATTTCTTATTCTCTATGTTGAACTACTGCTTGTTTATGTCCACTTATGCTTCCCATAATATTCCCTAACATGGCCCTTTTCTCCTCTATTCTCTCCTTCATTTGGCCTGCATAATGAACTTCTCATTGAAATATATAAAAATCACCTACTAAAAAACAAATAAATGATTTTTTTTTCTTATTCCATTTATCCCTTTTTTTGGATCATTATACATTAAAGCTGACTTTGTTTCTCTGTGCCTTCATCTTTAGGGGAGGAGATAATCTCTGGAGCTCAACGTGTCCACGTACCCGAATTCTTGGCAACACGTGCAGAAGCCTGTGGAATTGATGTCAAAACTATATCAACATATATTGATTCTTTTGGGTATTTCTTCATTGACCATTTTGTCGTATATTCATTTGAGTTTTTTAGTTGCTTTATACTTAAAAAGTTAAAACAAGTTGCCCTACCACTCACCCACGGCCAAGAAAAGGGGTGGGGGTGGGGAATACCTCCCCCTCACTTAAGAAGAAAATATTAATGTGTGTCAATTATGACAGAATCATATTAAAAGAATCAAATTTCAGAAGTACTTCCTTTTAGATATGCTTCTTTAATTTTATGTTGGCAGTTGACCTGTACAAACTATGTGACATTTGAAGTTTGCTTTTGCTATTGCAAAAGACGTCAACTATTGAATTTTGGAAAGTTAGTTGGGATTGTTTCATGTTTTGAATTGATGGTGTGAGACTAGCCTCGTGTTAAATAAAGAAAAAAAATTCAATATATGATTACTAACTATGTGCACACTTCGGTGGCTTGTCTTCATAATTTGAATTTGTTATCCTTGTGCAAACCATTGTGTATAATACATCCATCTATTTAATTAGTTTGGTTTCTCGAACCATTACACATGAAATCTCAAAAATATTCCACGCTTAAAATTCGACCTTGTTAGGTGCTTTTTTTTATCATTGTCATTGTTATTAATTATAATTAAAACATTTTTTTTTCCCCTGATGGTGATGTAGAAATTTCTTTTATGTGATACTAGTTACTGATATTATTGCATTTTCATGATCTCAATCTTGGCATGGTCTCTTTTTGTTCTTTTGTTCAAATACTTTTTCAGGTAGCAATAAAATCAATTATGCATTCTATTTTATTTTATTGTTTTTCTTTCAAGTAAATGATATATGCAAATTGCAACTTTCAAATCATTGAAAATGGTCTGGTGGAAACACTCTTGACCTTTCATAATCAATTACTTGGTAGTCTAGTGATGTATGATAAAGTAGTTATGTTGTGGACATCCAAGTTTTCATGACTAAAAATGACGTGCCAGATCTGATTCATGGTTGTTCTTTTGCAGGTATGGTGCACCTCTGCATGGTGGATTTGGTGTGGGATTGGAGCGTGTGGTGATGCTCTTTTGTGCCCTAAACAACATCCGCAAAACATCACTCTTCCCTCGTGACCCTCTCAGGATTGCTCCATGACATTTTATTCTAGTAGCGTGTTCTGCCTGACTCTTTTTTGTCACCAAGATTGTTTCCTCTGGATGTTATTTTGTTGGAAATGTCTTACCAGATAAAATTTACTAGTTTTTCACTGGAAAAAGTAACATTTACATACATCCCAAAATTGTTCATCTTCATTATTATATACGCATGTTGTCCAATTGCATTGCATGTGGTCATTTGTTGTGCTGTGCAGTTTTTTCTGTTTCTATTTTCCTCATTGATTTACACCTAAGAAGTTATGTCATGCTCATATCAAAATAAAACCTAAAAAAATGTTATTAGGTCCTGAACTAGGCTACTTGTATCAATTACGTTGTCCCTCAAGTGCATAATTTCCTAATTCTTTGAACAAGAACTTCCTACTTTAGTTATTTATTTTCTTCAATTGTTAAATGAAACTTTGTGACAAATGATGGTATCAATATTACCATCATTTTTACTGCATTCGTCCCATATTAATAGTCGCTTTTGAAAATTTTAAACTTTTTAAAGAAATATAACCATTACATTTTGAATTCAAAATTTAAAGGGTTAATTTCAAAAATATCTTTCTATTCTTATTGTTAAATATATTTATAATGCAATTGAAGGCCTTGTCATGATTATGGCATCGATAAATGCCAAATTCCTTAATTGCATTACTCAAAACTTCCAGCGTCTAGCAGGTAGCTGAGAATCTTTACCGTTGGTTTTGAATTTGGATCGCATTTAGATTTGCTTGGGTTATATTTTGATTCAGAGTAATTAATGTCAGTTTCAGTGGGCAGATATTCATTGTGAAACAGAGTTGAGGTTTCATCAATTGTGAAGACTATGGATAGAGTTTACAATTTTGTTAGTGCCTCAGAGAATCATTGTTTGGCTACAGTTGGCTTCAAGCGGATGCTTAATCAGGTATGCAATGTCTTGGTTTATTCTACTAGAATGTGTAATGCACAATTGGTTATCAAACAGTTACCAAAATTATTACTTTCGAAGGAGTAAGCTGATTAATTTTAGAAATTAGTGGAGGTAGGAGTGATATCATTTTAAATATGATACCTGTGGTACCATCTGGTCTGTTATCTTCTAATGTTTAGTATCAATTTGTTTTATTAGGGTAACGGTCTTTAATCCTGCATTTTATATGCCTAGCAAACCAACTAGTATCATACATACTAGACATTGGAACTTGTGATTGCTTTTGATGAACTATTTCTTTTATAGGAGCATGCTTCTTACCAAATCCAGTTCAGTGTGCTGGAGAGGTAGTATCAGTGATAACTATTGTATTTTGCAATTTTGCAAATGGATTTGAGTGAGACCAAAATCCATCCAAATTCTAAATAAAAATGTTCTCTTCCATGTGATAATCCAACGGCCTATGTTTATAGTTAATGCAAAACTATGTTGTTTTGGGGGTGTCATTTTAATGTCGTTTTACTTCAGTTTTAAGTCGAACCGTTAGATTATGTACACCTTGTGACAAGATCAGTGTAGGAAAATTATGGAAGAGAAACCGGACTCCGTTCTCCCATTTCAAGTAACTTGGTTTTGTTGTGGTCTTGCAGCGTGGCAAATTTGGGCAAAGGGTTTATCAAAAGCAGCCGATTTGTCCATACAAAAGTTAAATATTTTACTCCAACCTATATGCCTTTTTAAAATTCATTATATTTTGAAGAATTCCTCCCTAAATCCATCACAATGTACTTCAAATTTCACACGAGAGAGAGGGAATACTTGAAATTTCTTGCAGAAAAATAGTATATTCAAAACTTTATATCTGCCTCAAGATTTCTTTCATGACTTCTTTGAGATATTTATATTTTTTTTCCGGATCAAGGGCTAGAGGGAGTTTGAACGCCAAAAGAATTCTCTTTGTTGATGTAAACATAAGTTTCTTCGCAGTTTGGGTTTTGGTAATGGCCTCAAATCGGGGTAAACATATTCAGTATTTTGGTTTCAGTTTTCTGAATTCAATTTTTTGAAAATTAAGTTTTTTTTTTGTTTTTCGTGTTTTTTTGTTTTTAGTGGATATTTTTTAAATTTTAAGTAATTTTTTTACTTTTTAGATACACTTTACTTAGATGTATCTAAATAGTAAAATATTTGTGAAAAAATATTTTAAAAATTTAATAAATACACAAAAATGTACCAAGTTTTCTTTTTTTTTTGTTTGTATTTTTTGGTATTTAATGTATTTTTTAAAGATTTTTTTCATAAATATTATATTTTTTAAATGTGTTTATGTTAGATGTATCTAAAAATTTAAAAAAAAAGTACTTAAAATATTAAAAAGATTCATTGAAAACATTAAAATATGAAAAATAAAAAAGTAGAATTTTTGAAAATTATTTTTTAAAAACTGGAACCAAACAAGCTGGTTGGTGTACAAGAATGAAAGTACAATAATTTACATTTTCCCACTAGCTTGATCATATTATTATTTTTTATTAATTTGAATTTGAATAATGCTATACTAATGGTAACCCGTGCTATGTACGGCATATAAAAAATTAATAATATATTTTTATACAAAATAATATTAATAGTTAAATTTTTCTATGCAAATTATGAAAACAAATAAGATTGAAATTTACAAGTTAAGTCTCACAATTTTATCACAATTTATTTATTATTTTTTAATTTGTCACAAATTTAATCATTTAATTTTCAACCGCCCGTGCTAGAATTGCAAATTTAGGTGAACTTAACACAAACAAAATCTAAGGAAAGAATATTGGTCTCATTCCAATTATAGCAATATGATTTAAGTAAGAATCCAAATTTGAAATTTTATTTTAGGATAAATTAAAAATACACCCCCTGAGATTTGCTTAAAGTATAAATTACCTCTTATGGTTTGGAAAATTACAACACCCCTTTGTTAAAAAATTTTATTTAACAAAATTAACTAAAAATATAAAATTCATAATTATTCTCTTATACGATAATAAAATTATCTAAATTGTTAATTGAAATATGTTTCTAACATTATTAAAAGCTATTAATTGATTTGATGATTTATTAATGAAAGGGGCAATTTGTTATGAAATTAAAAATTTCAGAGGTGGGATGTAATTTTCAGAACTACATGGGCAATTTGTATTTTAATCAAATCTCAAGGGGTATATTTGTAATTTACCCTTTATTTTAAGAATATAAAATTAATTTATAGACCAATCATATTGTAATATGTATTAACAACAAATTAAACAAAATAAAAAGAATGAGAAAAAGAATTACAACTTTCAACCTTAATGAAATGATAATATTTTGCAATTATAATAGTATATATATAGATAAATCATAGAATAGATCATTATTTCAAACTTATATATTATGGGATAAATTATTATAATTTTAAATTTAAATTAATGGAATGTTTTTCATATTTAGTGCCCTCAAAATACTTTATATTTTTTATTTTATATATATATATATATGATATACTTTATATTTGAAAATAATACATTTAGAGATATTAAATATATATATATATATATATATATATATATTTGCTTGAATGAGAGCTATTGAAGATTTTTTTAATTATTTAAAATCAAAAAATTTGAAATTTTAGTTTGAGATATTAGAATTCCCACAAAACTTGTGGTTAGAAACCCCTTTTACTTATATAATATATGTCACCAAATCAAATAAATATAACTTTCAAAAATAAAAATGACTAATTGATTCATAAGACTAAATGAATCAACATTCTCCTATACAAAATTTGTGGAATTTTTTTTTTTTTAAAAATGTATTTAATTTAAGAACTCAAATAATAAGTCAAATTTAAATTTACTTTCTAAAAAATATTACCACTAGATTTTGGCCTAGTAGTGCCTTATGATTGATATAAGCTGATGTTGATTCATGGGTCTAACTGGTTGTTTTAAAAATGGTAGTTTTTCCTAGTGTGCAAGACTCAAAATTGTAGCGTTTGAGAGATTGTAGAGCTTACCCTTGTTTTTTTTTAATGAAAAGATTGATTCTGGTGATTAGAACCTGCAACCACAAAGTTGGAGGTGAATAATATAAACATAATTTTATACAAAATCAACCGTTTAAATAAATAAAGTCAAATAATTTTTTTTTTTACTTTTTAAATTTAAATAATTTACATATACTTAGAAGGAAAATATTTTTTAATTTTCTAAAAAAATCACTAAATTCAAAAAATATATATAAAATTTAATAATTTACGGCATGAAATGTATGTTATCTTAAGTGAAATATTTTATAATATATTTTTATATGCCATGAAAATATACATTTTTTACGGTATACTTTTGTATGTCAAAAAAAAATCGGATTGAATTTTTTTTTTTTTAATTTTTTTAGATTTTTTATAAAAATAATTTAACAATCTTATCACTAACCATAGTGTATGAGAGAAGTTGAGAAGGGTGCTACAGTAATTATGCACGGGTTGTATCTATAATTATTTGTATGAAGAGATTTTGACCAAAGTTCTCAAAAGGCATGTGGAAAGGAAAAAGTTAATAAGTGTTGATAAGGGGATTTTGACCAAATCAATAAATGCAGGCATGCACTACAAGAAAATACATTTTTTGCGACTAAAATATTAGTCGCCAAAAGTATTGATTTTAGTTGCCAAAAGACTTTGCCGACCAAAAATTTTGGTTGCTGGCTTTGTCGAAGATACATCGTCGCCGAAGGTATTAGTAACTAAAGAACATTTAGTCGCCAAAAGTACTACAAAATTACCGACTAACACGTTAGTAGGCAAAAGTAACAGCTATTAGCGAGGAAAAGAGCCTTAGTCGTCGATGACTCACATTAGTGACTAACATATTAGTCACCCAAAGGGTGCATTAATTTGTTTAACTTACTTCTTTAGCTACTAAATCTTTTGTCGCGACAACTTAAAATATCTACGGCGACGAAATCTTTTGTCGCCAATAGTGTTATTTCAGCTACTAAATCTTTACTCGCGGAAAGGTTCATTCTTGTTTGGCTACTAAACAGGTTAGTCGGCTATGCTTTTTTATTATGTTTGGGCGACTAAAAATGTTGTCGCCAAAAGTGTTTTCCATTTGTTTTGGCGACTAAAAATGTTGTCGCCAAAAGTGTTTTGAGTTGTAGCTACGAAAACAGTTAGTCGCCAAAAGTGTTTCGATTTGTTTTGGCTACTAAATATTTAGTCGCCAAAAGATTTATTTCTTTTTTGGCTACTAATTGTTTTGTCACAAAAAATGTCATTTTATATTTTTGTTTTGTTTTTTTCATTTTAATAAATTTTGCTAGAACTTGTATGTATCCACCGCAACCTGTAATAGGTATACAACCTATATATATTATCACCTATTCCGTAATGTATGTTTCACTTACAACCATCAAACAAAAAAGAACACCTGCTAATGTATACTTATATACAAACCAACTATATATATTCCAATTACAAATAATAACGTCATACATTCCAAATACGTTACCAAAACAATGTCCTCCTTACACAACATTTTTACTATACTGCGCATTGTAATGACCATTTGCCAAGGTACAAATTACCATGGTGATATGTACCACGACAAAAGGTAATCTATATATATACCATCAGAGCAATTAATACAAGCTCCAAAAATACTATGTACCCCGCCATAAATTATATGTACGATGCATCCAAATTCCACGGTTCATTGATTCTATACGACCAGAGCAATTAATAGAAGCTCCAAAAATACTATGTACCCCATCAAAAATTATATGTATGATGGATCCACAGTCCACACAAAAAGTATAGGACGACAAAAAACTTCCCAAATTTGCAAAACTGTGAATTATCTTCCGGACAAAAAAAAATAGAAGATCCACATGTCAATGCCAAAAGCCATCTACACAACAAAAATTACACCCATTAGTTACATCATAAACAAAAATTGTAAACAAAAAGTTATAGCCATCTACAAAACACAAATTGCAAGGATGTTAATTGTAATTGAAATTGTATTTAACTATAGTTTGAATTTAGGAATTTCAATATACTTTCTTTACACTTTAAATTGTATTAAAAGTGTACATTTGAAGTGCAAAGAAATTTCCCAAGTCAAGCATGAGCCCCAAGTCAAGTTTAGTCTAATGTGTAAACATATATGTATTTTATTCATAAATATACATATATAGAGATGCTTATAGAACATATATTTTTGTAAGCTTTAATACATGACATCATAACTTCATCAAAAAGTTCTCCTTTTTTCACTTGTTTGCCAACCTCTTCAACCATTTTTGTCTTACCTACCCCTCCTAGTCCATGCACCCCAATCTGTTTTGTGGTTCACAAATTTAAAGCATTTCATGCTTTCAGGATCTGTTTTGTGGTTCACAAATTCTTCAACATACATGTGCTAATTATGTCCCATTTGTTCCCACAGGTCCTATTTGACACAAGGAAGCTACTCGTGCCATCCCTACAGTGGTTCGGGGGCTGCTTTCAAATTTCGGCCCTCGAACGCCTTTTTCGGATAAGTTTATGGCGTTCTGGTAAGACGAGATTTTACAGAGGAGACTAACTGAACTAATATATATTTCCAATATGACAATAATGAAGCTCATAATTGTCCAACGTATTGAACATGGTCAATAGGGGGAAATAGACCCGAAATTATGTTGATTACAACCCAAATAAAGTCATGATTTAATGTTGACAACTCCTAATGCACAATGAGGGTTTCATTAATTTTTTTCACGTATTACCATCCTTTATATTGTACTAAATCAAAATTCATTCCAATTTAACTTGGTTTATTCAATTAGTCTTAAATTTGAAATGACATTCAATTGGATATCACTGCTAATATAGTAACTGGCCTCCTATTCATAGGCTCATCGTATTTGCTTTTGGGGAACTTAATATTTCATTGAAATCATGTGGTTACCTTATGGAAATCAGATTCACGGCCTTTGTGTAATGTATCAAAACACCTCCCCTTTTTTTT